ACGGATCAATTGTGTTTTATTTCGGGATTCATATCGGTTCGGCTACGCATCACTCAAGTGCGAACTGGCTGATGTACGCTCTCCTATATTCAAATCGGGGGATTGAACCTTAGCAAACAGTTACCGTCCGATAGCTCTGCTTTTGGTGGTCTCAGATGTAATGAAGTGACTCATTGGCGACAAAATCAATGAGTTTATTGAGCGAAATTGTTCCTTACACGATGACCAGCACGGGTTTCGTGGGAAGTGATCCTGCCAACCCAACATCATGAGACCATAGTGTGGTACATATGTGCAGATAAAGGGGTGCAACTGGACGTCGTCCTGCTAGATTTCTTCCAAGGATTTCGATGGAATTCGTCACTCTCTGCTAGTAGAGAAGCTGGTGAATCAAGAATCCCCAAAACCCTGATAGCGTGTCTCAGACTGTCTTTGCGTTCGCACCTTTCAGGTTCGAGATAGGTTTGGAGCACCCAGTGGGGTACCCCAGGGCTCTATCTTAGGCCACAGACTGTTCATAATATTTTTGAACGATCTCCCTGTAGGTATACAATCAAACCTAATGATGTATGTAGATGACGTTAAGATCTGCCAGGAGATTCGATGCCCGTTAGATAATTACACCTTGTAAGAGGACCTACACGGACGTTCTACCTAGTCGGTCGAAATGTCTTGCCGTGTAACTTTGAGAAATGCAAGGTTATGTACGTTGCAGGGAATCGTACAAACGACTACTCTTTGGGAGGTAGAACACTGCAGAGTGTCAGACACGAAAGGAACCTGGGCACAGTCATTACCGATGATCTGTCCCAGCAGCCTTTGATTGCTACGATTGTCGTACATTTTGTATGTTTGCAGATGAGGAGCCGTGGATGTGCGACCCCATTAATCTTATCTTTACTCTGTCCTCACTGATGTCAGACCTGCATTCTACCAATAAAGCCGGAGACCAAACGGCTGGTAACTCTTATGTATCACGAAGGTCCACTCACCCAGGTGACAGAACACCCATCCATCACTAGACCCAACCCTCGTCCAAGCAAGGCGGCGGGAGTTTTATCCCTAATGGCCAGGAAAAACACTATAACGATTAAAAACGAAAACCCACCGGCTAGACAGTAATGCGAGGAACACTCGAAAGTGAGTGACTGGTGATAGTAAAAGCTCGATTCGGCTTCTCACTCCCAATGGTGTTGAACGCATAACTAATGAGAAAACAAGAAAGAACGGTACCAACCAGGTTCCAACCGCAGAAGCTGTCAAAATTGCGAGCTATCACGTTAACCGATTAAAGAAAGTAAAATGAGAGGAGAAAAGAACTACAAGACTGGGAGAAAAGAGAAAAAGAAAACAGAAGAAAGAAAGAAAAAGGAAGAAAGCAAAAAGCAAAATGACACGTAAAGGTGGTTCGGATCAAGTGATGCAGTTTGTTGAAAACCATTCAGTATGGGACGCTAGGGAGGGGAGCGACCCTTTTGTTCCCGGAATAGCAGGGTTCGGTGAGCTAGAGTGAGAAAAAAGGACAACGACGTCCACGTCAGGCCGAATTACTGCGAATCTAGACCTAACCAAAGTAGAGCTTATGTCTTTCGATGGGCAACTCACAATGTACTGGCAGAGTAAATGGCAGAATAAATAACTGCCTACAATGCGCCTCACTTTTGCTCTCCTTTTAGCTATCCCGAAGAGACGGCAAATAGTAAAGACAACCTCCTGCTGCGTCACATCCTAGAGAATCCGAATTAGTCGGTAAATTCCCGGAAATGCGAGATAGTATTCCAGTCAGTAGTAGAAGTTATTAAGTAGTATGAAAAATCAATTGCGACATTTGTAAAAGAAATGTACCAGATCGATGGAAAGTTTGTCAATTCCGTTACTTGTTCCCGTGTTTATGATATTGTACTGCTTGTTTATGACGGAATTCAGCCATAATGTCTTGAGTATCTTTTATGTATCGAGGAAATCATAATCTTTCATGACGCCCCCAACCTAATATCGGTTTATTGCATGCGGTATTTAGCCCGTTTTCAGTTTCACGTTTCCAGTTATCTCAACACTACCTACTTTTCTTCAGTGAAATGTTTTATAATCTAACTACCGCCTTTTAATTCCAGATGTTCCTCCATTCGGTTGCAATGTTAGGCTCACCACAGAAGTCCACAAGAATATACAGCTGTTTTTACCATCATAATCACATTAATATTAACCCATCCAAGAAAAAAGTGAATCATTTTGAATACAGTGGGAAACATAATAGTATTCGGAAAACACCATCGTCTAAATTGGGTGAAATACCTGTTACCGGGTGTTGTATCCCGTTTAATTCAATAAGTACGCAATTAGTGAATTAAGTAGTAATTATATTTCCAGTATGTAAACTCAAACATAGTCGGTCTGTAAGCCAGTGAGCAAGCAGTGTGTCAACCCGCAGACAGGCCGGGACAGAACTGGCGCAAGTGGTACCAAACGGAGTATGTCATCAAATTGGACAGTCGACGTAACAATCAATGCGGACAGGTCAATACTGACTTCTGATTCGCTGAGGCGGATCGACCTTGTAATAGAGTAAGTCCGCATGAGATGCGTACGTGTGTGTGTGGTGGCGGGCCGCAACGGTCAATCACGTGATGGGCACATCACTCGACTGCAGGCCACAACATTGTCGTAACGCGCCTCAATCGATAGAAGCTGATTCCTGATAAACGGAATCTCCCCATATGACTTGATGTCGCAACAACGCATTTGCCTTCGTGTAACGCGTTCAGACGAAGCTTTCAGACCTCGAAAAATCATTTGGTAATCATTTGAGGACTTACACGTTGCTGAAACCGAATTCGTTTTCAAACATAGCGGTTTGAAAATGACACCTATCCGCTTGTTGTTTTGCACCGGACGAGTAAGAACGTATGGATTTAAACTGCGATGGTGAAAAAAGAGTTGGAAAGAGCCAGATCCTTCTCTGATAAATGAACTGCATGGAAGGTTCAAATCATGTTCTTCGGTGTGCGGTGGATGATAATCGTCACGTGTAAGGTGTTTTGATGAAAGGTCACAACGTATGGCTTGTATGGAAGAAATGACGTTATTTTTGTCGATTTTCTCCTTTCCATCGGATCGAACAGAAATCTCATTCAAGAAATCAGGCTGAAACCAACGTGTAGGTCCAACAGAACCTGTACTTTAGTTAGATGGCTTCAATGAAGGCCGACTAGTATAAACAGAGTGCAAGCGACACACCTGAGCACAGTGGTCCAGTTTGTTGCAGAAGAAACATTGATGGTAATGCTGGACAGTTTGCATCATCAGTTCTGTGCTTTTTACTTACGCAGCGTAAACATGCATGGTTGTTTGTAGTTTTCCCGTCACGGTGGCACACGCCTATCTGGGATACAGTAGTCTGAGAATCAGAACGGAAAATTTCCAGTTGCCGTTTTAAATCCTATTTAGCTCAAGCAATGTCACATACATGTTCCCAAGTCAGTTGTGCGGTGTCCATTGTTATCAATTTTTACGTATGTCATAATTATTAGTTCCAAAAATTAATTGCTGAATTAGTAACGTTTCCACGAATTTGTCCGCGGGTACGGAACCATAATCACAGGGACGTGATGCGCGCAATAAACGGGAAATGAACGAAGATAAGTCTTCGTCAGGTGCTGGCTTTAGCAAAGAAAACTTGTATCCAGAGACAAAGATATTACGACGAATGCCTCAGTATTTGTCCAATGCACGACAAACTTCTTATAGACTTCATTTAACTCTCAGGTCAAGTGTGTCAAACAGTTGTCTACCTTCTTGGCCAAAATGGTGCCGGAGGAATTTGATTTTGTTATTCTCGGTTAGCTGCACCGCCGGGTTATATACAAATAGTAGATCCAAATAGTCTGTAAATGTAGTTTTCCAGGTATTCCATGCTTCAACAGACAGTTTTGCAGCAGGATCATCCCAGAATTGCACAGGAGCATGTAATTAACTAGATATTTTTAGGTTCAATGTCCGCGACGCCAAATGTTGATTGCAACATTTGGCATCGCAACATGAGTTCAGGAATTACTCCACCTGCACCATTTTGGATAGACTGTAACGTTCAACCTAGTCGAGAATCTTGGGAACAAAGGAAAATGTCGTTTAACGATTACATTGATCTCCTGCCTGTGCTAAATCCATCGATTGTACTGGATGAAAGCAGCAAGTCGAAACTTTTGCGTCATTTCCTCAGAGACGAAGGACAACGAAAGTTTGACGATCTCAATTTGCAAACGTGCTCTGCTGTCCAGTTTGCTTTAAATACTTTGGACCGAACCGTAGGACCTCAACTGAATGTGTTCACTGCCAGGCTTCGATTCTCTCGCGTTATTCAAGAAAATGGAGAACTATTGAAGCAGTTTGTTTCTCGATTAAACCGAGCAGTCCGATTTTGTGAGTACTCTAAGTTGCCTCAGAAGAAACTCGAAGGATCTATGTTTATTCACAAATTCATTTCGGGAATCAAAGACGATCGATTCCGAGAATCACTCTTTATAGAGGACGCAGATAGAATGACATGGGAGAAGGCCTAAGGATTGGTGTACATTAAAGACGAAATATCGAAGCTAGCTAAAGAGTTTTCCCAACACAGTGAACTTTTTAAGGTCTCTAAAGTATTTCCTCTACAAAAAAGCAATACACTGAAAGGCATCACATGTTACAGATGTGAAAGTGCGGCCCACAAAGCCAATTACCCCTTGTGCCCAGCCCGATCAGCGGAATGCAATACCTGCTATAAGATCGGTCACTTTGCTCGTGATTGTCGTCAGAAGAATGCGCGCATCGATATGCAACCTTGTGTGTTTATTGTCTCCAAGTTGCAGTGCCTCGGCTACAGCTTGTCTCAACTGAGTGCAACTGAGTGAATAAAATACGACTGCCTTTACTCCACTCAACTTCCATGATAGGATTTACGAGAGGCGCTTAAAATCATACCAGGATACATACAGAAGAGAAACTAAACCGTTAAATGCTGGGTGCCATGTACGGACTAAAAACCACTTCACTCAGAAAAGGCTCCCTGTGTTTCCGCTCAAAGTTGTGAAAGTTTTGAGACCGGAAACGTACCTACTTGAGAATGGAAGAATGAAAACGTTGACGCCAGACAACTCTACAAAATTNGTCATGTGGTCAGAAGGAAACTTGCTAATCAAACGACACAGCAACAGATCCTACTGTAAGATCAAACACAGGCCAGACGTTCCAGCCGGAACCCCCAAACCAGCTGACTGCTCCCTGTTATAAACGCTAATATACGGAAGGAGGTGATGCTGTGCGGTCTAATGCATTTGTTCAATAACACCTATACACATCGCTCCCCTTGAAAGCGCAACATCAATACTGGATACACACACAGACGTACAGACATACACGCACGTGTCATGGACGTTCCTCACATGCAATCTTGATTACAGTAACCAATCAGACTGCACCACGTGTATGCTTGGTATTGATTGGCTGACTGCTGATTAATGTTTTGGCCAATATCGGCTAAAGACATGCTTCTGTCTGCCCGTTGTTATCTTGCCTGCTGAACGTCTCTAAACTTCAGCCAGGTTCTCTTGCTGTTCTACTTTCACATTTTCTTCTTATGCATCGTTTCCTCGACGAATCTGTTTTGACGCTTCACAGCCAAACTAGAATCAATATTTTTATTTCAGTTAAGGTTTACGAACCCCGTTTGAGCATTTTCGCTCAAACAATGTGGGTGCCACCTGAACTAAAATGTCCGTCGTAAAACCTGTTTTGTCTTCTCCTGAACTCACAAATCCTTAACCAATTGATCCTCCTCTCTCTGGTATCTTGCCTACTGAATGTCTCTGAACTTCAGCTAGGTTCTCTCTTCCTGTTCTATTTTCACCCTTGCTTCCTACACATTTTTTCTTCAAGGTATCTATATCGTACTCTTTAGGAAAATCAGCATTGGAGTTTGTATTCTCATTGCTAGGTCTATCTAATGGTCATTGTTTAAACTTGTTCTATAGGTTCAATTTATTAGTTCATTTCCGCGAGGGTTCTGACGTTCTAGAAGTATATTGCGCTATAACATGCATGCTTCCTCTCCTCCTCATCCCCACTCATCAGCTATGAACCAAACCTAGACTGTCTCGCATTTCCGGCTTCTATTTCAGAGATCTTCTGCTGTAAGTGTCACGGTGACTCCTGTCGCATAGGTACGATATGCGCCGTTGAAGAAAACTAAAGCAAATCGAAAAATAAAAAGCAGAACTCTATGAAATCTTCCATCGATTGGACCGTTTCACCAAACAAACTCAATGTTGTGTTGCAGGCCCACACGCAGTGACCCAAACGCTTTGTGTTTTAGTATCGATGATAGGAGAGGCCTGAGACCTCTCCTCCCCGTCTTGACCCGATCACCCTCCCCCAAACAGTGATTTCACTCAGTACCTAATCGTACCGACAGGACTTTATATAACCATTTTTTTCAAACACAAATTTTCTAGCAGATACACAAAGAAAACCTTCAAAACAACTCCAGCCATCCAGTTCCTTGTGTCTTTTTACCTCCACACGATCACCGTTTGACATTTTTACCGCGTCCAGTATGCGCAGTTTTCATTTCTCTTCCTGACTGAACTTAGTTCTAGATAACAAAACCCATCGACATGTGTACACGTTTTCATTTCTTACATTTCCGCCTCTGTGACTTTTCTTCTTCACATCTCCTTATCCACAGAACTATAACCTGTCATAAATGTGATACATTGCCCACCTTTCTTTTTATAAATTTACCGAATGAACAAAGTTGTCCCCTGAACGTTTGTGCGTATCTTTGTTTCTCGAGCGCAAACAGATCGCTTTCCGTTTTTTTCTTTTCTTAACCCCATTAACTGTCCACCCAAATGTTCTGTCATTTATTGTAAAAAAAATTATCGTGCATTCCAGCATGCCTCACGACTTTCGTTGTGAAATATATCATTGTTATTTTTGTTGTTATTGTACATAAATTACATTACTAATGTTCTCTACTAATTCAAAAGATTTACTTACGTGCATATTACGAGTTTTATTGAATGCAACACCGGGTGTACTCAGAACATTGACTTCTTGCCCATAATCACACTGATTGTTCCATGTGCAATCTACTCATGATTTTCTGGTGAGAAATGTGTACAATTAGCGTCGGTAGAAATCTATTCGTTCTTTCGCTTTTCTTGTTACTAGTGTATGTTCAAACCGACTGATACGTTTGTCATAACCGTTGTTCGTCGGGTTAAGTTCAACACGTAATGCCATAACGTGATTCATAAACTATAAAAGTGAATCTCACAAACAGTCCTTATACCCGAGTTGTGATAACCCTAAGCCAGTGACCGATCTAATTTCATCGGTGCTCTAGCAAGGAAAACTGAGAGTACCGTTCATTCACTCACACAGGCGCGTAAGCGCTTACCATCCAATCGCGATTACCGTTCATCTGTTTGCACGTTAGTGCGACAGAGCCCATCGATAGACCGAACGTCCGTCGATTTGTGACCAGTTTTCAGTTTCAGTTTCAACAAAAAATAACCATGCATTTTTGTTCGCCGGTTCTGTTTGCTGTCTTCTGCCTACTAAGAAAATGAATTAAATTATTCGAAAGACCTACAGAATTGCAAAAATAACTTTACAGATTACAAAGATGTATTCCTAGGAATATCAGAAATCATTTCATTTATTTATCTCAGCTTGGCTCTCCTTTGGAAATTAACAAACGCGCTTGTTAAATTAATTTTACACACTCGAACTCTGAGCATTATCCTAGGTAAACTTCTTAAATTGATCCCATAACTTCTGTGCCTCTGAGATAATTTCCAACGCCATTGAACCCAAATGTTCATTAGCCAACTACGGAGCCTAAGTGCTCCGTGTCGATTAGGTTGCCAATGAACCCAATTATTCATTAGCCGAGTATATTCAATTGTGGCCCGTTTCGCTTCGAGATATTGATTTTCTAATTAATAACTGCTGATTGCGTTCGTGAATTTGCTGTTTCTTGGTAAAGTTCCAAAGCATCATAATTTTGCTCTAATGTTTCAGTCAACTTGAATAACCGAACATTCTGGATTGTGTGTTCTGTTGATTGTCAAGTGTGTGATGTTTCAGAAAGTGTTGCTTTTGAAGTATAGAAATTTTTAGTGATAAACATAAAACGAGAGAGGCAAATGAGTGATTAACATGAAGAGTAAAAGAAAACAACAAATATAGACCGAAGGTTCCATGAAAAGCGTCGGTGATAAGGAATTGAACAGTTCATCTTAGTAAGCGGAAAAGGGGAGGATCGGAAATACAATAAGCAAAGAGACGTATCGTTTCCTGAGGTCAATCAATTACATGCTCACCAACAAGAACATTGTCTAGAACCCCTTCTAAAAGGTAGATATTTCTGACGTCTCTTCTGAACGATCCACTAGTGGTTTTTACCTCCACTTCTCTCACCATTCCATCTTCGCTTTTTCTGGTTTGTTGTATAAGATCCAAAGGCCACTAATTCCTGGATTTGCCTCCCTTTACCACCATCACTAAATCTCCCGGTTGAAAGTCCCTCTGTTTGATCTGGCAATTATTCCCTCGTCCATCGCTTCCAGAAGCAATTTGCAATATCCTGCACTTGTCGCCATGTACGGTTATAACGGTCTAGTGTGACTTCCACCTCAGAACTCAAATCGCACCGCCCTATAGTGAGCAACATCTGTGGTGTCAGTGCTTTACAAGCTTGCGGATCGACTGATTGCGGAACGAGCGGTCTGTTATTCATTCTTTTGGTCTCTACCAGGGCCGTCAGTAACCTTTGTCGGTCACCTGTTTTGCAATGAGGAGTGCCGTCAGTATTCTTTTTATTATCTTAATCAGCCCTTCCCAAACTCCGCCTCTATGGCTGGCGTTAAGAGGGGTGAAGTTCCACTGTACCGCGTCCTTGAGGAGATGATTATGTATTTTATCCTGAGACCAAGATTGCAAACAAGCCCGTAGTTAATTAGTTACTCCGACGAAATTCAATCTATTATCAATGAATGTGTTCTGGTTTGTCTCTGAGAGCTATAAACCGGTCCAGGGCCATGATGAATGATTCCGTTGAGTATGAGTGCTCTACCTCTAGATGTACT